GCAATCACTCTCGCTCAAGCATTCTTTTTAATTTTCACAAAATTTTAGATTTTCAGACCAAATAAAATCAATAAACTTCGCCAAATCCTACAGATCGATTGAATTATAAGTGAATGCGTCAAGCCAGGCAGCAAACATTTGTTGCTGTCAAAAATGCAGATTATCATGACATTTCGACAACGGAGGTTTTGTTAGATGCATCACATCAATGGATTGCACCTCCGTGAAAATCGATGAAAATCTCGATACGGAGTCCAAATCCAAATAGAGCCTCAAATCGATATACCAAAATCACCACTCGTAGCAATTCAAGATCGTCGTCGTCAAAAGGTCAGCCTTAAATCAAATGCGTAGTGTTGCTTCGCATCTGAGAACTAAGATTGAATCCTATTTTAGGGTATTTGGAAGTAGAAATGGTTAAACTCATTCAATTACTGTTTCTGATCCCAAGTAAGATTTATAGTCCGGGGGCGGAGGAAAAATGGACGTTTTAATGAAGAATTATCACTTGGCTGGGGAGAAATTACGACCGGCATTCATCTGGGATCGCTTAAAGATGTCTTATTTGTTTCTCTCTTTTTTCAGGCGGGCTATTCTCGGGACAGAAAGACGGAAAGAAAGAAAGCTCTCAACCAATCAATATCCTTCAAACTCACCAAAACTGACTGATTCGCAGGCTTATTTCTAAGGGAGTTTTTGATATCTGAAACGTTCAGTCATTTTTGGTTTTTTCTGCCAAGAGTGATTCCCCTTTTTTGTTCAGAACACTTAAAGCGCTTACGTCATGTATATTTGACCCCAGTTCATAATTGTACCTTTAATTCTTCTTGTATTTTTTTTAGTTGTTCCTTATTGTCATTTTAAGGTATTTTTTCCGATGTTTTAGCCTCTTTTAAGCATACAGGCTCATCGGTTTTTCTTTCGCAATGTGAATTCTGAAATAATTGAAGATCTGATTCAATTTCTGTCATGAGTGAAAAATATTGTCTCAAAAATGAACGCAATTTTAAAAATATATACAGTTGATGGCCGGCTGATTGACTTTATGAGGGTAAAAGATAGCTTTAAAAATTTATAATTTCCTTGAGTCTAACAACTGCATTATAGTTTAAAATAACTAACAACAAATTCATTTTACACGATAATTAGAGGCAAGTTTTATACGCGCTTTACATGAGAAAAAATTAAACGAAAAAACTATGATAACTTAAAGACTCTTTAATCAAAATAACCTTTATAATTCATAAGATAGTTCGAAGTTTTGAGTTAAAAATTGAACTATCGTCCATTTTTAACTTTCGTTTACAGACAAGACAGGTTTCATGCATATTGCTGAATAAGCACTCGTGAAATAAATGGATCTCTAAAATAATTCCCTATCCCAATTTCTCAACCCTTGAATCAGTTCTTAATAGGCGTGCATATTCGTTTAATAAGTACACAGCATAGTAGGGGGGATTGTTAAAAAGATCCGATTATTTTTGACAGTTATTTGAGATTTTGTACATGAATAACTTGAGACAATTAATTCTGGGCTTAATTCATTAACCGGGCAAGAATGCCTTGAATTTAGCAAACACGTCATATCGCCCTGATAGTTGTATGTTAAGTGAGAAGAAAATAATGTTCCACACTATAAACGTGGACGGGAAACACAACTTGCTCAAGTGGTCAATATTGTACTTCTGTTTTGGGGGAGGGGCTTTCTTGGTGAGCGAACGCGTTGAAGCGGTGAGGGGGGACTTTGTAATCCCATGTGAACAACTAGGAACCCCAATATGCTGGCTGCTGGTGGGGTTGTTGGGTCCCCCCGATTTACTGCAACAGGTGCCCTGGGACCCGCGAGAGTGCATCGGGACGCGAAGGGTAGTGCCGTCGGAAAGCACCACGGCGTTTCCGTTCGAGAGAAGTGGCGAGTGGTCGGCATTGAAGTTGTTTTGACGTCCAAGTGGAGCCTGAAAACATCAAACGAATACTCAGCTCAATATCAAGACCATTTATCCACAAGTTTTAAAAAGGAAGGACCAACGAGCTATACTTTAAATTGGCTGATGAGGTCCAAATGATCGTAACATGGGCGGATCTAGACTTTTCTCAAGGAAAAAGGCGGATTTTCAAGAAAATTTTCAAAAATCTTGTTGTTATTTTTTTCTAGGCCGACTAAATTGATTTTATGAGCACTCCCAAAAATTATAACGACCCCTACACCCCTGAACCTGCGCCCCTTCATCATAAAGCAATTAATGAATCTCAATTAAATTCTTATTATCATAATTTCTCAACAAAAAAAACAAACCAGCAAAATAAACGTATTTTGGTATGCAATTTTTATCAGCAATTCCAAAAATGAACAAAATTATTAAAATAATTGTTTCAATAAGTGAACTGAGTTCTATTAGGTTTATACGCTCCGGAATTTTATCAATTTAATTTTTTGCCCGAGCTTGGTCGAGAATTGAAATTCCAACCACCAGATTTTAAACCACCCACTCTTAAAATGGTAATCAAAAGATTTAAAAATTTCATCATATTTTATCTCGCAGAGGTCATACATGTGAAAAAAATTGATAATTTTATCTGTATCTTCTTTAAATTCACAGGGGAATAATTTAAAGGGTAAATTGGAAAACTTGACAAGGATATTGAAGATGGAATTTGCTGAAATACCTATAAAGCAACCCAGTTAGATTGATTAAATACAGTTTTTGAAAAAAGGAACACAGCGATTCAATAAAGAGCGACCGCCAAAAAGACCCTTTGAATAGCAGGGCTCATAAAAGTAAGGCTTGCAAATGATGACCATAAATCAAGTACTGTTCTCTTTTCGCCACAAGTATTTGGACAGCTCAAATTGAATACATTCAATTCTGATTTACTTGTGCGGTTGAACAAAACGGCTAGCCAAGTATTGTCCCAAAAGCATAATTTGGCTGATAAAAGCGAAAAGCGAACTGGTAGTTTTTTCATAGCCAAAAAACTCAAGGGTTGAGAATTGTTGTGCAGGTAGAAAATGATGTTTCGACTAAAACGCCCCACAAAAAGAATACAAGACCAAAAAAAATAACCTGTTACTGTGCAAGTAGCACAGAATGTTCCGACCATAGTTTTCAAAAAAATACAAAAAGAAAAAGTTTTTTTTTCAAATAAGAGAAGTTTTTTCAGCGTGTTGTGATAAAAGGATCTGACGTAAAACTAGATTTTAGACATATTCGACAGTCATAGTAATAAAAACTAATTGGAAATCAGTTTTTGTAGAAATATGTCAAGAAAAAAATTTAAAAATTTGTTCCACATTTTTTTTCACAAAATGTTGTTTATTCAAAAATTTTTTGATTCTCAAAATGTCGTTAAAGTTTGCACGGCTTAAATTGAGCATAAATAAGCTATTTTAGGCTCGCTCGCTTTGTTCGCTCGAAATTGAACTAAGAATTAAACAGTTTAAACCAGTTGTTCTCAATACTCTAAAACTTTTAAGAGTTGTTTTTAATTTCGTTCGAATTACGACTCAAAAGGCTTGAATTTAGTATATCATTCGACCCACTCCGATGATCATTTGTGGTACTTGATTTTGCGTGGAAAAAAAAACAAAAAGAAAAATTAAAACAATCGAATACAAATTTTCTCCCCATATTTCAAATGGTCAAAACAATAAATCACCTTATTTTCAAGATGCTGTCATCTTAATTTCAAGATTCATAATAATAGATGAACCAACTTAACATCCTCCTTTCTGAAACATTTCGGGGAAATGGTGTTAACTTGGTTCTGAGCTGGAATTTCTAGCCAATAAAATCAGGCACTTTACACGCAGCGCTTGCGAACTAAATATTGGCAAGGAAGATCTTAATAGTTTATCTAAAAGGATGATGTTAACTTGCTCCTAAAAGAGTTTTCGGATAACAATTTTATTTTTGAAAAAATAAGCTATCGCTATCGCATAGTTTGTTTCTTTTGTCTCTTTATTTAATACGGGGGCTATTCTCATGATAGACGGACCAAACGAAAATAAAATTTTCAACTAATCAAAACTGCTAGAAACTGCTATTCGCTGAAAACTTTTTGCACTGAACCGAAGTCAAAATTAGCATAAAATAAATTATAGCCTACACAGTCTGAGCAGATACAATAACTAATGTATTGTTTTTTTGCATCTTTTTAAACCATTATCTGTGAAAACTAAGTTTTTCTCCGATAAGTTTTTTGATCTGGCAATGTTTAGAAATTCAATTATCTGCAATCTGTTTATCTTGTAATCGGCCTGTACTAAGACTAATGTAATGGCCTGCTTTTATTCGCTTTCTTGAGATTTCTGCAATTTAATTGAGATTTTTGAATATTCGTTTCTGATTAGCTGAAAACAAGGAGAAGAAAACTTCCGAATTTCGGTCCATCTATCATGAGAAACGCCACTATTTAATTTAATCAAGGTTTAGCCACAACAATATGTTGATAAACTTTGAATGTTCGACAAAACCTCAATCACTCCAAAACCTCAATATTGGACTTCAGTTATCGATGCACGTGTAAATTAATCAAATAACAATTTAAGACAATCAAAATGATCAACCAGCAAGTGATCACGGCCGCGTTTAAATGACAAATTTTCTATTTTTTCAGACTCTCGCAGCAACTACGCACTTTTCCCTATGGAGCGAAAAAAATTATTACCAAATTATTAACTTATTTCGTTTTTCTTTTCCCGTAAGCAACACAATTTTTACAGAAAAAACTGACGCATTGACAAAAATTCAGACTACGCATAACTATCTCGATGAGGGCCAAAAAATACAAATTAAAGTTAAAGAGACAAAAAAGACCCCGAGTGAAAACACTCTGCGCATGTTTTATTAGTTTGGCAACTAATTTTGTGAAAATACAGCGAACACAGTTTTAGACGAGTAAACTCTCAAAATTGTATGGTTTTGATCTTAGCTCTGGATCGAAACTAAATTTTTTTATTCAGTGAAAAATTATTAAACCAATTTCCCAGGGTCTCAAATATTTTAAAAGAAGTTAATTACAAGAAAAATTTATTAGTTTAAAAAACTGAACTATTTGATCAATTCTTAGATGCTGAATGATCTCAAAATTCCAATTTTCTCCTTAAGTGAATGATGGATATCATCGCTATCTACGCTGCTATTCATTACTGCCAAGAAAACTAATTTAAATAGAAACTCCCGATAAATAGCAGAAAAAATGTATCAACAAAGTTTCACAGCACTTTGTATATAGACTCTAATTCTAACAAATGAGAGGCTGTTGCATGTTTATATGAATTAATTTTTTTTCTATATTTTTCCAGCTTCCGTTTTTTCTCACGACAATACCACATTCTATATATTTTTTCGGCGTTTGAAGAAAAAATACGATAGACTTTCTCGATGTGGTTATTTTTCTGGAGACAAATTTCGATTGTTAAACTGGCCAGCTTTGAACGGATAAATTTCACCGCTTGAAAAGTGTTGACATATTGAGCTCCAATTAAAAAAAACACGCGTGATTAATTTTCGTGAAGTAATGTGGGTTTGAAAATTAAGAGTTTGGCTAACTTGGGACAATTAATGGGCAGTATGTTTCGTGTTATTAACGAGTAAACGGTGTCTTAATTCGGCTCAAGCAACCTAATTTGGTTCAAAAAAAGCTAAATACATCATTTTGTATTTTACTTAGCGCGTGTGGGAAAGATTTGAAAAAACTCAATTTTTCGATTTAAAAAAACTAGCAATTTTTGACTTTTATGACTCACTTATTAATTATTCCATTCATCATATCAGACAGCCGAGGTATATTGATACGAGAAACCTTGCTGCTTTTTTATAACTAGCCATTCGGAGAAAAATGTTATTCAAGCGTTTGCAACGTTCTCTTCAAGTATAAAAATATTTCAAGACAAAAATAAAAACCAAAACTATTTAAAATATTTTTCGTTATCCATAGCATTAACAATTTCAAAAGAAACAGATAGAAATGATGAGCAAACGATTTTGTAATAGCTCGAAAATGGTGCAGAGAGATCACAGTTTTCCGCCAAAGCCATTTTAGTGTTCTCATAAGATTTTTGAATGTCTGCTGGAGGGGGGGGGGGGGGATTTGTTCCCTTGGTCCCTGTAAACTGATGAGATCTCTTTAAATATACCCCCTTTTGCAATAGAGGGGAGATTGGTTACTAGGTATAAAACTCTGATATGCTAAGCCGTTGATTTCGTTCTTTATGGGGGGAGGGGGGAGGGTATTCGTTACTCGAGGGGGATATAGTTAAGGAGATCCAACGCATGAATCCTCGCCAACATAAGCGATCAAATTGTTTGCCCTTGCTCTATCGCAATTTACCCGAGAGAACTTTTAGCGTCTATCATTTTTTCCGAACTTAACTGTCAAGCTATTAATTTTGTCCTTCATCTACGAACCAACGCAACTTCAGAGTATTGGGCTTCTTTCTGTTACCTAGAGCTGCTGCATGTCTGTAACTAATCAATTTTTTTAAATTTATATTAGATCGCCATTTATAAATTGTTATTTGACTGCACTTGTTTTGGTTTTAATGATATCATAAAAATTAATCATTTCAGTCATGTAAATAAGTGAACCCTCGTTAAAATTTTATAGGTTTTGCATTGAAATCGCAACTTCAAACAACTAACCCTAGTTTATAGTCTGTTATTTCAGGCGGTCTCATTATAAATCTCTCAGGATTTTGGTAAGAACTGAATTTATTTAGTAAACAAATATTATTTTTGTTTCAATGATGACAGTTTTATCCCATGATTACTTGAACTTGTCTATTCAGCTGAAGCTCCAGGTGTTTCGTTTTTCTGAATCTTGTTTAGTATCCCCCTCCCACCCAGAAAAGTAGTTCCAGATTTTCTCATAGAGGACGAACACGCTTTCTACTTTTGCAGAAATTTAACCCCTTTTGCAATAGGGCGTTTCTGATTTAGGGGTGTATGACCTT